GACGCTTCTTGCTGGGAGGGCTTGGACTTGCTACACCTTCTTCTGGGCGGCATCTTTCACCTGCTAAGTGTATGAGCTGCTCCTCTGGGGCTCAGATCCTTGGATGCCAGAATCCCTTCCTTATTTTTGTTGGCATGTGCAATTCCAGGAGGCATGCAGAACAGCCATGGCTGAGCGGCTGCACAGTCTCCAGGCAGACCCAGCTCTTACTGGAGAATACGTAAGGGTTTGACTAACAGTCACTATTCTGAAGGAAGGCCTCCACGACTTAGAGTGGAGGGCATACAGAGCCCAGGCTGCCACTGTCTGGTAAGACCACCACTCCTAGTGTGTGTGCGCGCGTGTGCGCACACACGTACGCACCTGTGCATGTACATGCGTGCGTGCGCGCACACATGCCAGTACAAGCGCTTGAACTCAGGACATAGGCATTGTCCCTGAAAGATGGGGCTCTACCATTGTGTTATCTATGCATTAACACTAGCACTCTGTCACTCGAACCATGCCTCCACTTCCAGCTTTTTGCCACTTAATTGGCCATAGGAGTCTGGTGGACTTTCTTCCCTGGGCTGACATTGAGTCACAGTTCTCTTGAGTAGCTGGAATTGCTGGTGTGAGCCGCCAGCACCCAGTACCACCACTCCTGACCGAGAAGCAGTGCCTGCTCGGTGTGTTTTCTATGGGACGGAGACATGAGCGATGCCGTCATCTACAACAAGGCAGCATTAGAAAACAGCCCAGAAGGGCTGGGAAGGTGGCTCAGTGGTAGAGCACTTGCCTTGCATGCTTAAGGCCCTGGGTTCGATTCGTCGGCACCACATAAGCAAAAAGAAAAAAGCCGGAAGTGGCACTGTAACTCAAGTGGTAGAGCGCTAGCCTTGAGCTGAAGAGCTGAGGGATAGCGCCCAGGCCCAGAGTTCAGGCCCACGACTGGACCCAAAAAAAAAAAAAGAAAACAGCCCAGAAGCCGGGCGCTGGTGGCTCACGCCTGTAATCCTTGCTACTCAGGAGGCTGAGATCTGAGAATAATGGTTCAAACCAGCCCGGGCAGGAGAGACCCTGAGACTCCTATCTCCAATAAACCACCAGAAAACCGGAAGTGGCACTGTAGCTCAAGTGGTAGAGCGCTCGCCTTGAGCTGAAGAGCTGAGGGACAGCGCCCAGGCCCAGAGTTCAAGCCCCACGACCG